ATGTACAATTCTCATAAGACATTTGATATTCAACTTCATGGGATCCTTTTATGGGCTTCAATCGGATTCTTGATGCCGGTCGGGATATTAGCAATGAGAATATCGAGCTGTTCGGACGGTATACATCCTTCGAGGCGCAAAATCTTGTTCTACACTCACTCAATTTCTCAGGTAAGCAATTTAAGTTCATCAATTCTCATACAAATAACAAATTGATTACAACTTATATATTTTCGCAGAGTTGCAGAGGGAATGCAGAGAAAAAACACTATTTTCACTCTGTTCACTCTATATAATATGTACTTATTTTTCATTTTTTGTTTGCACCAAATTAAAGTATGTCTTTTTATTGTCAATTGGTCAAAATATGCTTCTTTAACAAACCCAACTGCAACAGTAAATTACTTTTCTTGAGCCATTTGCAAAATGAAATTTTTGGTGACATAAAAGTTCCCTTTTTAGTGTCACTAAAAAAAAAAAATCGTTTTTTGGTTACTAAAAGAAAGGAGCTTTTGGCTAATGTGGGGTCAACTCAACTCGTTGAGGTCCTTTTGCTGTCCTTGTTGCAATAAACAAACATTTTGTCCTGCAACTTTTTTCATACTCATGGTGCCCATTTAATAATGATCTAGGATTAAATTATATATAAAAAAGAAAAAAGGAAAATGAAAGTCATACTTTAGTAGCACAAGAGACTGGAGAGCCCACAGTTTGGTGAGCATTAGGCCAATACCCAAAATCCATCAAGTGAGAAATAGAAAATAATCAAATATATGTTATATATGATAGCCTTTTGTCCTTCAAATTTAACATGTATCACAAGTTATATAGTTATCAAAGGTATCTGCTAAATTCCATATTTAACAATTAATTGTATGGTTGTGAATATAATGAAAGGTACTCTCCGTGCTAGCCGTTACCATTGGAGCCGTTTTATCCATCAAAAAATTCGAAAACACGTTCGAAAACAGTCATCAAAGAATAGGGCTCGCACTTTATGCCGCTGTTTATTTTCAGCTCGTGATCGGATGTAGGCGGCCTAAGAGGTCGATATGCTACAAAAAATTCAAAATTAGTATAATAATAAATTTTGAAAATAAATAAATAAATTATTTTGTTAAATTTTTTTTTTTTTCGTTTAATTTCATGCAGGGGAACTACAAGTAGGCGAACGTGGTATTTTTTGCACTGGCTACTCGGCACGACTATATGCTTAGTCGGGATCTTGAATACTTACACAGGCTTACAAGCGTACCGAAAAAAAACGTCGAAAAGCGCGACTCTTTGGGCAGTAGTTTTCACAGCACAAGTTTCATTTATGGTGATTTTCTATCTATTTCAAGATAAATGGGAGTACATTTTAAAGCAAGGGATGATTGCAAGTGATAATGGTGATGGTGAACTCAACAACACTTCACCAGTTGAATTGGAGAACCAAATAAAGGAAGTATTGAGTGAGCCAAGGAAAAGCAATGCACTTGGGACTCATTTCTTGAGAAGTAATGCACTCAATAAGCTATTTCAATTGACATGAACTATTTAAAATTTGTAAATAAATATATTTATTATCAATTTTTTTTCCTTCCTCAACATAGTAGTTGTGATGTGTATGAGTAAGACCATAGTTAGTCCATAATAAGGGCTTCAAGATTGTTTTTTTTTTTTTTTATTGTTTTTGAGTTGTATTAGTTTCAAAATGGATGTTACAATGTGAACATTTTCTTCAATTCAGTAATAAACAACTACTTTTTGGATTTATCTTTCACATAGTAGTAGTTTTAGTATTTGAACCGAATTAGAGTTGTAAACGAGCTCGATCTTTGAGAGTTTTTATCGAGCGTGTTAACTAAGTTAACGAGCTTGAGATAAGAACGGTAAAGATACGAGATACTTTCTCGTGAAGAACTCACAATATAAGATAAAATTCAAATTCATTCTCCGTCGGGCTATAAAGAAAATACATAAATATATAGTCTTAGACTCAATAAAAACATAACTTTGCTAAACAAGATAAACCCAAACCTAATTCTAAATAACATAAGTAAGGAAAGCTAATAATAATGAGAGAGGCAATAAAAAATTTAATTAAGCAACGACATCCGATCATATTTACCGAGGAACACGAGAGCGATCTTGTCTCCATCAGCTTGACTTATCAGTATTATTAATGGGTCGAACTTGAGCTAAAAATATAGTACATATCCCTTTATTCGAGCCTTTATTAAGCTGAGCTCGTTAACTAAACTGGTCAATAATATCAATATCAATGAAGCAAAGTCAAACTAAAACTTTATAAGATTATGTAAGAATTGTATTCTCGAATTTATCGAGTCGGGCTTGGTTTGTAACCGAGTTCACGAGTTGCTTGTTTCTTTTAATAACTCTAGTACAGATTCTGTTCCCCAGTGATTGAAATGACAATGGAGGGTAAATTTTTANAAAAACCCTATTTTCGAACTTAACGAGCCGAGATCGAGTTCGGCTCGATTCATTTATTAAGGCCTAACCCATGATTCCTTACTTCAATGCTGTAATTCATGGGCTTGATTGTTTATGAATTATTTCATTCTCATTTATTTCATACTCAAAATCTAACTCAACTTTAACTCAACCTCACTATCTTTAATATTATTCATATAATTAAATAATACAAACCAATCATTTTTACACATCATATCAACTTCAATTCACTATTCATCCACTCACATAATTTTAACTACCAATCATTTATCTCCTATTTTTACATCAAATCAATTTTAATTATTTTATTTTAAATATTATTATAATAAATTTTTAAAATTACACTAATAACTAATCATACCACATTTTTTAAAATTAAATGTTATTAACTAAAATAATTTATTTTGAACAAATTATTTCATAAACAATCACTTCCCAGGCAACTCAGTTTCGTTTAACAGCCCTAACTCTAACACCTATATGTTCCCCAATAATTGAAATGGGAGGGGCATTTTTGTCAAAATATCTACCAGCACCACCCTCAGTATCCTGGATCCAATTTTTAGCACTGTTCTAAAAATCGGCCTAGGCGGCCGCCTAGGCGGCGCCTTTATTTTTTTTTTATTTTTTTTAAATACTAATTACATTATTTTGTTCCATGTTTTCTTTAATATTATTAATATTATTATTTGGACTTTGGTGTGTGAATTTATTATATGTTGAGATAATTTTATTTTGTAGGTAGTTAAAATAAATAAAAAAATAAGGTATTTACTATTGATTTCTGGGCCCCGACTAGGCGCCGCCTAGGCTCCGACTAGGCGCTCTAGACGCTAGGCACTGGTCGAGCGCCTAGCGGGCGCCTAGCGACTTTTAGAACACTGATTTTTAGTCACACATCTGCTGCCATTTTCTAGCTCACTTTCGTCAACTGCAAGAGAAATCCACTCCAATGGCGTCCAATGATCATCACGCACACGACCACGAACACCACCATCATCATCCTCATGAGTAATCTGCTAATTTTATCCCCAATGTTTTTACAAATCAAGTCTTTTTTTTATCCCGAATCAAATGTTACAGCTTTTAGCTCTTCGTGCACCATTGAAGCAGGGAATCGTGGGTCGGGCCAGATGGGAAAATTTACCATAGCCACGATGGGCTGGCGCCACACTCGCACGAGCCCATTTACTCTCCGGGCTTCTTCAGCAGAAGGGCGCCTCCGCTTGTGAACAGGGACTTTAAGGAAAGAGCTTTTACAGTTGGTATTGGCGGCCCTGTTGGGACTGGGTATTTTCTCAATTTTGTTTTTGTTTATTTATTTAAGAAAAAATGGAACTTATTAGTGTTGTGTGAGAAATATGTTGGTGTCCGGTTACTCTTTTTTTATGGGTTGCAGTGTAATTGTTTGAGGATTTCTTGTGTGAAAGAGAAAAAGAAAGATGCTTTATTCTTGTCTCTAGTTGATTTTTCCTTCTTTTGAGAAATACTAT